GCCTTCTCATCTAGGGAAGAGATAGAGCCAAGATGTCCTGTCTCCTAGCCACCCCTCTGCTTGCCAGGTCTCAAGTGGCAAGTCAGAACTGTGCAGGCAAGAAATGAGTGATTCCTTACAGCATGTTCTAACTAATATCACTTAACATTCCGTAGATTTAGTATCGTCTAAATATAACATGACTTCTCCCTAACTACACCCTTAGTAGCAAGGCCTTTGTTAGAATAACTAGAGACATTTTGAAGGGGCTACATAAGTTGAACAAGTGCAGAATCAAAGTAGTCCATTACTCTGATCCTTGGAGGAAATTATGGTCATAATGACCTGGACTACAGTGCATCACCACTTGCAGGTTCCTTTATGTTAATGTGAATGTAAAGTCATAGAATCATAGAATCACAGAAGTAGGGTTGGAAGGGACCTTGTAGATCTTCAAGTCTGAACCCCTGCCTGGGCAGGAGAAAAACTGGACTCAAATGACTCCAGCCAGGTAGGTATCAAGCCTCCTCTTAAAGACCCCCAGGGTAGGAGCCAGCACCACTTCCCTTGGAAGTTGGTTCCAGATCCTAGCCACCCTGACAGTGAAGTAGTTCTTATGGATGTTTAATCTAAACCTACTCTCCAACAATTTACGGCCATTATTCCTTGTTATGCCAGGGGCGCTAGGGGAAACAAGGTCTCTCCCAAACCCTTCTGGTCCCCCCTAGTGAGTTTATAGAAGGTCACCAGGTCCCCCCTCAGCCTTGTCTTGTGAAGGCTGAACAGGTTCAGGTCCTGCAGTCTCTCATTGTAGGGTTGTCCCTGTTGTCCCTGGATCATGCGGGTGGCCCTCCTCTGGACCCTCTCAATGTTGCCCACATCCCTCCTGAAGTGGGGTGCACAGAACTGGATGCAGTACTCCAGCTGTGGCCTGACCAGTGTTGGACAAGTGTATAACAGCAGGAGGAACCAAGGGGAAGTCTGTAACCTGCTAATTTGGACAACTCCCAGAAACTCCCAGGAGCTGGGAGGCAAGGGAAAAAGGAAGAGGAAGCCTGAGGCTAGAATAAAGGGAAGAGCGAGCAGCCTGTTCACCCTACACAAAGGAGTGCACAGTGGGAGATCTCACCAGCTCCCTCAGCCAGGACTGTGGACTGGAGGCATGGGGTCTGATACCTTGATTCCCCTGGTGGCCAATCCCGCTGCCTGGTGGGGCGCCAATCTCACTCACAGTAGAAGCGGCCACACCGCTTCTGGAGCTGTGGCCACTTCCAGAAGTGGCGCAGCCACTTTTGCTGGTAGCCACACTCCCCCATTGGTGCTCGCAGGGGGGACACTGGTGCTCCAGCCTGCCCCCTGGCTACACAGGGAGCGCAGCCTGACAGGGTGTGCACAGGCGCTCTCAGGGGGTATACGTGCACCCCCATGCACCCTTTATGCATCACTCCTGACTGGAGAAGCTGGACTCAGACTTGAGGGCAGCTGCAGGCTGCTGTCTGAGTGCTCTAGAGACTAAAGGCTTGCTTGGGGACAACTCGGGAAGTATAGGGGGAAATTATGGAGCTGAGTGTATGTTACAGCAGTATTGATATTTCTTTACATTTTACCTGTTCCCTACCTTTGGCCCACTGGCCTGTGACCATAACCCCTATGATTTTCTATATAATAGTGGGAGTTCCACCTTGCTTCTTGTGCCAGTTTCCGGCGCTGCAGGATTGGCATAGCACTTAATTACACAGCATAGAGGAAAAGAGATTTAATGAGGATGCTATGCAGTCAAACTTCTGTAGAGAAGAAACCTGAATCTATATGGAGGGACCTTCTTCTCCATCCTGCTTTGAAAGGTGAAGACATTTGTGGAAGAAATCTGAAAATGGTTACCAGCCTCCAGAATAAACAGGCCATCCACTTGTACCTGGACTACCAGCCAGAGGTAAACATGTCTCTGTCTCTCTTGAAGGAAATGCTCGTACTGCTACCATATGTAACCAGTGCAAAGACTGTTGGTTTCCTTTCTATCATATCACCTCTTGACTCCCTAAAGCAAGTATTTGTAGAAGTTCCACAATTGACACAATCTGCCTACATGCATCTTACAAATTCTGATTGAAGTTTATTATAAAAGCCATTTTTTATAAACTGAAGATGATGTGGTGCCTGTGATTGTAGGAGATTGCCCTTTTGGAGCCACTGAGTCTGTTTGTTCTTACCAGTCAGAACGGAGTAGATTCAGCATTCAATCATTTGTGATAGAAAATCAATATATTACTTTTAAGAAATTTCGCCAAGGAAGAACAGCCTAGTGCTCAATTATTCTGCATTACTGTCAATTTACCTTACCACAGTGATGTAGTTACTTTAAGCTATAAAAGATTTGTAAGTGATTATGTCCACCTTGGACCTGATCTAAAGGCACTGCCTTTTCTGGCTTCAGATAAAGCTTCAGATAAAGCTATGCTTGAATATATGCTTCCACTTCAACAGAACTCCTCCTTGCAGATGCAGATTGCAGTCTTCAGTTTTTTTCTGAATAATGCTGAACAATATAGCTTGGTCTTAAGGTTTAATTACTTTTGCAAAACATGGCTTTCAATTGTTGTTCATCCTGTTTAAAAATTATAGTTTATAAATGTAAAAATAGAACCTGTTTTTGCTTGAGCTTTTTAATGCAACTTTATCTAATGTGGAGCTCAATTACTGTATGGTTGACACATTTAAGAAGAATGTGCTTAATCAACTTATTCTTTCAGTCTTAGCTCCTAAGTTCACCAATCACTATGTGCTTATTCAAGTAGATTACTTCTGGTTTGTATAACAACATTTTATTTCTTTCAGTAACAACGAAATTAACTTTGGCAGGAAATGCACCAGTAGGTCACGCTACACTATTTCTATTGCTGTAACACTGCAAGTCTGAAACACAGCATTATTGTGTCATTGTGTAAAGCCTGAAGCAGCTATACATTTAAATACTGCAGCTGTGTTCATAAACTCCAGGCCTAACCTTCTATGCTTAGAAGTAAATGACTCGATTTACAGTACTAAACTATTTTTAACTATTGCCAAAATCTACACGGCAGGGCTGACCCTTCTATAGATTTCTTCCCCTTTGAACTCCTACTTCTATCTAAGTGAAGATGCTAAATAAAAAGCAAGCAGTAAAATCATTAGGCCCCCGACACACATTACCTTTAAGATACAATTGACAAATGCCTTAAAATAGTAACCCAGCCACACATGCAAGTCAATTTAAGGCTTGATAATGCAGTAAATGAGCCACAAACTTATTCCACATTTAATAAAGAATAATTTTGTGGCTCATTTGCATCATGCCTTAAACTGAACCTGAGGCCAGGTCCTGGTGTACAGGGAACCCAGCATCAGACTGCAGCAGTCCAGTCCTGGGCTCCGTATGCCAAACTGATTGTTGGCTGAGGCCAGGGACCAGTTTGGCTCTTGGTCCTAACTGACAATCAGGTGATTGGCTTCATCCTAGATTCCCCTTGCTCCAGCAAGTGGGGCATGATTGGGATCTAATGCCTAATCCCACAATTGTGTATTCTGCCATAAACATGTGGTATGGAAGGATGTGTGATCATTGGGATTGAGAATAAGATCCCATCATGGCTTCAAGTAATGTCTGTCAGAGGCCTCAATTTAACATTAACACCAGAGCGGACTGAAGACCAGTGCTGTCTTTTTTTGTGTTGTGTTAAGTGATGTTGAGTCAAAATTCCATCATAGTAACACCGCAAGTTTTATCAAGGAATCAGTTTATTTATTGAGTCACTTGGGAATGATACAAAGCCTCTTGGTGTGAGTTAGAAGACTCTTGGCATATTTCAAAAGCTCCAAAGTCCAGACTGCAAATGGACTTGTATCCTTAATCTCTATGGTAGATGTTGGAAATGAAGACACCTGCTAACTTCATGTGTCTAGAGTTATATAGCAGCTGAGCAGGGGTTTTAAGAAACATTGTTTTGGATTTAGCCTCCTAAGTCCCGTTGTCTCTCTTGGGACCTAGCTAGTTAGGAGTTGAAGTATTATTTTCAAGAGAGGCTTATGCTTCTATCTTGCTGAAGTATTTCTGAAAATTTTCTCTCTGTGCTAGTTAAGTTCATATGAGAAATTATAAGATAGAATTGTTGAGGTATTAAAAAAACAGCAACTCCCCTTAAGGCATAGAGAAAATTACTAAAGTGGCTTAACTCCTTATATTCCTCTCACGCTTCTAATATGTCCCAGGTTGATTAAAAAAACAAAACCCTGAAAAGACCACTGACTTTTAACTCCTGTTAGATGCATGCAACCTCAGTGATTTCATGAGAGTTGTGTATGTAAATGAGAACAAAAACAGATTTACACTCAGTAACCTGTTCTAATGTCTTTTTTGTACCTAGTTAGGGTTTCATTCCTTGAGAGCAAAGCATTTTTAAATGCCCATATAGTTCATAGTTCAGCATTTTATACTGTCTTAACCAAATGATACCTTATAATATTGGTGATGACTCTGTTCTCAATTCTTTTGGGGACTGTTGGCATCTCATTTTTAAAGAATCCAACAATGTTACTGCATACAGTTCCTCTAGGCTTCAATGGGAGTTCACCAGATCAAACAAATGTAAGATTGCGTGGCTTTATTTTTTGATAATATAAGCAATGCAAATAAAGATAAACTCCTTTGTGACCTGAGCAACAGACAGGAGATTAGAATTGGTATCTATATCACAACCATTTACTATCTAGTCCTTTTGCAAAATCTATATATTTTATATACATACAATATTTCACCTGCATCTAACTCAAATGACCTAACAGACAAAATCTTTTAGTGTATGAAATGGTATAAATCTTAACTAGTGAGATTATCAATACCTGGAAAAATTTTACTTAAGCTTCTGATTTAACTAAGAAAATCTCAATCTACTTTGACGGTTCCTGTAACCCTGCTGATTTGACTGCAGGAATTTTAATAGAATGAAGTATATGCAATAAGAAAGAAAAATGATCAAAACCATAAATTGCAACTTCCATGTTCATGAAGTTTTTAATACTCATTTTACTAAGAGATGCAGAACAATGACTATTTTATTTCCATTTGTCAGCAGCCAACAAGATATGAATGAGTATTAACTTCAAACAAAACCTGATTCATAACATCAAATTGTGCACTTAAAAATAATTACAAATCATTTTAAAAAGGAAGAGTAATAGTGGAAGCAACAATGAATATAAAACATGATTGATAGGTTTTAAAACAAAAATAAATTCAAGTATTTGTAAAATTCCTCTGACATTGGTCTTGAAATTTTGTTTGTGCAATACCCACATCTTTGCATAGTAAAGAAAACTTTGTAAAACTCCAGTTCTATGTAGTTTGTTTCTTTTAACATGCACCTACAATATATTTTTTGTTAAATTCGCCTAGTAATTTTTTTCTTATAAGAGGATTAGGCTCAATTCAGTGGGATCATGCAGCATACCAGTATGAGCTGTATAGTAACCATACATTTTCCTGTCCAGATGACTTATTAGATAACAAAGCAAAAGTATAGCGGGTGAAATGGGAACTTGTCATTCCTTAAACATTTATTCTGTTGATTAAGATTAAAAGGTGACACTTTTATCATGATAAAAAAATAACATAATCAGCATATATACTCTAAGCATTTGGCAAATGTATGGCTTAGGAAATAAACAATGTCTAGCTGAAACATTTAGACTATATAACCTTCTAACACCACAGAAAAAAATTATTAGCATCCACTTGTGTGAGTGATGTGGTTATGTGTTGTCATTTACATTCTGTACATACAGAGCATAAAGCTTGTGTGTTTTACAAATACACGCACACAGGTAAACAGTGGAGCATTAATTCAATCAAGAAATCATATTTCCTATGAAACTGCTGGTGTAACAAAAAGTTACTCCAACACTTAGCATATGTACATAATATTTGGGGACCACTGTGGTCTGATTAAAAACATCACATCGCACATTTACAATGTTATTCTGTGAAATGTTTAGTGTCAAAGGTCTATTACACAGGTAGTTACATTAGACACCTAATTGATTTTGTAACCACACTGGCACTTCTACTGTGGTTACATTTTTTTTTTGGAGTAGAACCAAAATATGAAGCTTAGAACCCGCTAGAGAGTGTTATATCCTCTGTACCCTGTAGCAAACTGGAACTAAGCAACAAGGTACTAGAGGACAAGATTACAATGCAAGTACTTTGAGTTCCCCTCAAAACAAAGTATTCATTGTCATGGCTATTAATACAACACAAATGTTACTCTGAAGTTAGGTCATGCTGAAATAATTCTGAATACTCCTATTCTATACTGTTTAGAATGATCAATATCAACACAGACTACCTATATCCAGCACCTTTTACTCAGTGTTAACAAAGTATGTGCAAGTATGTTAAAGCTGTCTAAAATATCATTTGATAAATAACTGTCTTTTGTTAGTCAAACAGTCTATGGTTCTCATAGAGGAAAAAAACTTCTGAGAATGTCTAATCTGAAACAAACTTGAAGCAAAAAACATTTTATAGAAAACGTAATGAGAATTGTGTAGTTAATGCAGTACTGACTTTTTGGCAAGTTTTTTTTAAAATGTATATCTCAAAGCTAAATCTAGAGATTGATCTGACATTTGAACAAGAAAAATGAACACTGATTATAGCATTTTTAACCTATTAATGTTTAAGATAAATTTCCTCTCTACTTTTGATTTAAGAAAAAACAAACACCATTATAAAATTAGCTTAAACTCTGATAACTACTTGTATTGGTATAAATTAATAAGTTCACCTGAATTGCATGAATGTATATTAGCATAAATGAGGGTTAAATTTGGGCTCTACAGCTTTGCCTTGCCTACCTCAATTAGGGCTAAACAATTGACAATTTTAATGGATATACTTGTATTGACTTCAGTGAACTGGATTAGACTATGTGGAACTGTAGAAATAATAATATGTTAACCCTGAAATAAAAACTGAGCAAAGCTATTAGTGAAAGAACTTCTTCAGATTATACTTTGACAGTGTAAAGAGGGGAACCCAGAGTAACTTGGATGACTGGATCATTTTTGTAGGCCTGCCAGAAGGAAAAAAAAGAATCTGGAGAAAAATGAGAGCTTCAGCCTGTCTCAAGCTTTCAGCATTTTGTGAATATTTTAAGGCTTACTTAAGCTTGTTTTCCTTTCACATGAGAGAGCTAGACAGAGGAAAATAGTAGATAAAATTAAAAGATGAGCTTGGCACTTTTGTGATTAATTTGAGAGCGTGTCAACTTTCTTACATTATATACAGAAAATCTGCATGACAGCCCCCAAAAAGTAATTTGAGAGACTTAAACTCATTACATACATATGCATTTACACCTTTTACATTTTAAAAATTTTTTTCTTTTTTTTTTTTGGTTTCAAGCATACAAACTTAGAGCACACCTGTTTTGGTGCCTGAACTCCCTGCATCTGCATGCTAGATCTGCCTTTTTTGAGCAAGCCCAGAACACCCGCTATACAACATGCTAGAAAAATTAAAATTTAGGGGAGCAAAATTAAACCACCAAAATTAGATTTACATAGAGAATAGAACCTTCTATAAGGAAATGCTTCAATATATCTCTGTGAAAATGATATCTCAAAATCTATTTCCATATTTACATTTTCTTTTCTTTCTAGAAGAACTATACACGTTATCCTTACTGTTCAGAGAAACAATAGCTCCCATACCTAAAGGAATTTTTATCCAGGATAGAAAACAATGATTCTGTAGAGTAGGGAGCTATTCACTCCAAATAGACAGAATGCATTGCAGTGGTGAAAGATTTCTTAAGAGCTTGTATCAGCTTCTCTGTGTTCTGTATTTGTTGCTTTCCTCTCTGTATATATTTGGTTGCAGATTTTGCTTGGGGGTTGGCTTGCTAGCTTGCTTGTTGTGTATATATGCCATGCAGTTTATCCTTTCAAAAATTAGCTCATCATGCCACTGGAGTTTGTCATTAATATGAAAAAAGTCATGCCAACTCAAGTTATAATATTTTTCCAGCAGACTAGGAAAAATAATCTTCTGACAGTTTGCTATTTTTAAACAGTTCTCTTATTGCACTTGGTTTATTTGTCCCTTTCTTCCTTTATTTGTCTAAGAAAACAAGAACAAAAAACAAGTTTGAAACAGTTTTCCCTTCTCTGTTGTTGCAGTCTTCATTTTAAAAAGGAGAGAGAGAGAGAGAGAGAAAGAGAGGTGAAAGGAGGGAGTATCTGAACTTATCTCCAAAAAGGACAGTTTTCCTTCATCCCTTCCCCAACACCCTCACTTTAGGTCCGTAGCAGTCAGTGCCACTCCAAATGTTCTTCTTTATTGACTTATTTTCTGCGCAGCTACAGCAAAGACATTGAATCCAGAATCCAGTAGTGCAAGGAGAAGCTATTCCAATTTAAGTTTTTCAGATAGGGCCTTGCTGACTCGGATCATACCTTCTCTTTTTGACATTTCTTCCAAGTTGCGTTAGAAGTAGATGAAGAAAATAGGAGGAAAAACACAAGACATTAGTTGGGCATAACATAAAAGTGGAAGTGCTAACACCATAGTAAAGTAATAAGCCCACTCTGAGGCACTCTCAACAAACTAAACTTACAGCAAGGGAATTTTACTGATCTGATAGTGTGAGGGTTTGGATACTTGCTATTACCTTATCAATTCTTGGTAACCCCTGGGAGCTGAAAGCTAAATATCTTAAATCTATAGCTATGATTATATACAAAACTTTACATTGCACAGCACAGCTGTACACATTGACAGAAAAGCATCTGCATATTGCAACTTGGACCATTCAAAATGCTCACATTTCAAATGCAAAGCTACTGGCTGTTGCAACAGTGACCCACTGATCTCCCAAATATGTCTTCTTTGAATGAGATCATCATACCTACTTGGGTGTCCAACTTTGACTAGTAATGCTGAATCTGCAAATAGCTCATCCCACTGTAAGTCATTCTAGTGCCTCTGTTATGAGCCCTTACCATACTATGGTAAAAAAGTTTTGAATCTCCAATAAAGGGCAAAACGTAGCAGATACTGAGACACAGCATTCGAAGAAGAATGGACAAGTTATTCTTATTAGTTATGAACAAGCTTCTGTGCCAATGTCCATTCTTCTACGACACTGATACCCTAAGTTAATAAACAGCAAGACATTACAAGGCAACAACAAAAGTTAGTGCAACCTCCCCATAATCTGGCTTTATGTGGGGCATCAAGCAAAGGGCTCATGCATTTAGTCTTAACACTGGGCGTGTGCACCACTACCGCCACCGAATTTTCATGCAAAAACATAGAACGGGAATTCACAAGTTCCCTAAAAATTATACACAAAAAGCCCAGGATTTTCTATTCTTCTGCGCCCTCCCCACATCATTGCTGCAGTGTTCATGAAAGCAAGCTTTTACTTAAGTTGGTTCAGGTGTCTTAAGGATGAGTGCAAAAAGAAGAATTCTCCATAAACCTGCCAAAGAACCTGATAGCCTTTGATATTCCGCCATTGCCCACATCCAGTAAATTCAAGCATGCACCTTAAGAGTTACAGGCTTTTAAGTTTAATTATGTTAACAATTTAAATGTTTTACTTATATTTATACAAAGCGTTGAATAATATTCTTCGTGAATCAGCCTGACTGCATTACTTAGATATCAAAACCCAACAACCTCCGCAGTGTAGCCTTTAAGGTCTGATATCAGTGGATGATCTTTCTGGTAACTTGGAAAAAGAATTAGACAGCAGGAAGTCTGAATAATGAAAATTTGTTAACCACAATGTTAATTTGGTTATACTCTGCCAGCTCAAAGTTTTTCTGTCATATGTGAAAAGGATTTTTAAATGTCTAAAGTCTTTTTTTTTTTTTTTTGCTACATGGCATACCAGAATTCAAATTCCAGTAACTAACGACTGCAATTAGTTTCCTTTAAAGGAAATGTTTTAAAAAAATCCCCGTAATTTAATCCAATCCATTCTGGAACACATTAACATTCTGTTCTTTTTTTTAAAAGAACCATAAAAAGCCTATACTGAAGTAAGTTGTATTGCCTAAACTTTTCTTGTTAAATGGATTTTAACAGGGATTTTATGCATTGATCACTTCCATATACACCTCTACAGTTAATTTTAAACAAATCCTACCTAATGTAGAGCTGCCAATCAACTGGCAACATCCTGCAGAAACCTTAGTCAGCCTCTTCGACACAGCACATCTCTGATGGTCAATGTCAAAAGCATAAATCTTCTGTCACTCCTGCCCTCCAGGTCACTAATTTGGAACACACTCTTCCAAAAGTAAAAAAAAAATCAACCATACTACTGTCTTTCTTTTCCTACAATATTTGCTTAACATCTTATATCAAAATGTTGAGTATCCAGCAATTAGTTATTAACTACAATTTTCTCCACCATATTAGGTTCCTCAGAAAGAATCATCATACCTGAATATGAAGGACTTGAAGATCTAAATGTGACATTCAAAATAGGTACATTATTACTATTTTTAAAAAATATGCTAGGCTTAATATTCAGTTATCCAGTCCCGTATACTGGGATTTATTTTATGGTAATAAACTGGAATATCTTGTGCTAAGAGAGCATTTCTTGCTGGACAGTCTCAAAGTGCTTTATAAGAAATGGGCATCGTTATCTTGGCCAGTGTCAGAACTGGGAACAGAATTCAGGCATTGACTCTCATTCCCATGGTCTAACCAATGGGAAAATCCACCGCTACTCACAACAAATTGTATGTTGAGACTCCTTTATTAAACCCTTGCAAAAGAAGTAAACAAAGTTCTTTCTTTTTCCCAAAGAGGTCATAATAAAAAATTAGGAAAGTATCAGCAATGAAGTAAAAAATTCTCATTTATTCATAAGCTAGAAAATCCCAAATCATTTTGATGAGTTTCCTACACTATTTAGTTCATTCTCCATTAGGCTAAGCTCCAAACAGTTCTCATAAAATATCCTGAATGGAAAAATATGCAGTATCTTTCTGACATGCTGTCCGGAAGAGTGTCAGTTGAGCCTTCTAATGTACTGTTTCAAAGATTCATAGATTGCTTGGGGCTGGAAAGGACCTCACAAGATCATCAGGTCCAGCCCCCCTGCATTAGGCAGGAAAAACAACTGGGGTCAAGTGACCCCAGCAAGGTGACCGTCAATTTCCTCTTGAAGATTTCCAGAGTAGGTGATTGCACCACTTCTGGAGGGAGTTTATTCCACAGTCTGGACACCCTGACTGTGAAGAAGTTTTTCCTAGAGTTGAGCCTGAAGCAGTCACTCAGGAGTTTGTGGCTATTACTCCTGGTTTTCCCCAAGGGTGCCCTGGGGAACAGTTGTTCACCGAGCTCTTGATGTATTCCCCTGATGTACCAGCAAACTGCTACCAAGTCCCCTCTCAGCCTTCTCTTTTATAGGCTGAAGAGACCCAAAATCCACACTTGGCATATGCTTCCCCCACCGTATGGCTAAATGCGGGGCTGCCCATAAATACAATCCTTGTAGTCACAGGGTGTGTCTACAAAAGATGCTTTACTACACATGCACATGCTTACTGCACAGTAAACCTTGCTAATTGCGAGTAAATTTGCTACAAGCAAATGCAAGTAGCAAGTTTACTTGTGATTCCTAACTGTACAGTAGTGCTTATGTAGATGCCTTACAGGGAGCAAATCTGTTCCTGGTCAGCCAGCCAACAGGAGCCAGGAGTCTGCTCCCTACTCCTGGGGAGCAGCCTGCTGCTGGGGTGGGCTCCACCCCCAGAACCTGGCTGAAGACTGTATCCCCCTGCCCCAGCAGCAAGGAGCTCCAAGCCCCCTGCTCTGTGATCGCAATCGGGGAGTGGGGGCTGGGAGATCCCTATCACCCAGCACCAGCTCCACAGTTGTGAGGCGGGCACTGGAAGATCCATAGCAACCATAGAGCTGGTGATAGGAGCTCCTTGTTAGTGGGGGCTGGGGAGCTGGTTCCCTGCCCAGTGATTGCCAGTTCCCTTCTCAGCTCCAGGAATGCGGAGCTGGGTGGGGAACAGCCTCCCCAGTCTGGTCCCCACCCAGCTCCATTGTTCCAGAGCTGAGCGAGGAACAAGCTTGCCAGGCTCCGTGACTGCAGAGCTGAGTAGCGAACAGGCTCTCCAGCCCTGGCCCGCAATCATGGAACAGAGGCTGGGAACAGGCCCCACCCCCTGCTCTGATCCCTGGTGGGTCAGCTCGTAGCGCGCCCCTGGCTGGGTGGGGAATCACACTCAGCCGGGGGTTGCTGCTAGCTGCCCCACCAGAAGATCAGGGCAAGGGGCTGGGACCTACCCCTCCCCTGAAGCTCTTTCCACGCCCCGCACCTCGATCAGGGAGCCAGAGCTGGGAGGTCCCCACCCCAGGAGCAAGCAGCCCTGGCCCCCTGACTCCTGGCCCAGCACTCCCTGCCAGCATAGGAGGATTAACTGACCAATCAGAGGCTCCAGCTGCGGCTCGCTTTTTGGCAGGGAAGCGAACGCCGCGGTTTTAAACCTGATGCCGTTTCTGTCTCTTAGCTGGATGGCAGCAAGGCCGCTGAGGTCCCTCAGCTAATCAGCGGCAGGGAGACAAAAATGGCGCCAATTTTAAAACTGCAGTTTTCTCTTCCCTGCCAAGGAGTGAGCCACAAGCATAGCCCCTCCACCAATCAGCGGCAGTGGGGAGGTGGGAGGAACCTGCAAAATTAAAGCTTCCTCCCGCCTGTTGCCACACAGGTGGCCAGGAGCACAGCCAGGCAGCCAGTGCCCTGCAGGTAAGTCTATGCGGGGAGAGAGGCGCGGGGGTGGGGAGGGAGCAGATCGAGGCCCACATAGACAGGGAGGGAGTGTAAGTGGGGCTGGGGCAAGGGCAGGCGCTGCCCAACTCAAGTGGTGAATAAAACCCAGGGGGGCAAGGAGTGGGATGGAGCCACGGGTGGCTTGTCTAGCAGGCATGTGTGGTGAGGAGGGTGGTTGGCCAGTTCCCTGCCACTGCACGCACCCACAAGGGAGACATGGGGTTATGTACTCCCCCGCCCCGGATTTGTGTGTGGGCAGACCCCCGAGGTGAGGGCAGACTGCCCACTGTGGGCTTGAGGCCAGGGGCTGCACTGGCCTCTTCTGGGTGGGGCTGGGCCAGGGCCAGGCTCAGGGTGGGCTCACCTGCACGGGGCGGGTAGCAGCAGCAGCATCACTGCGAGGAGTGGCTATGGTGAGGCCAGAGGGAATTTTGGGATAGCTCTAGCCCCTCAAGCTTCTCTGTAGGGCTGCACTCTGCATGGGCCTCCCAAGGGAAAGACAGCAGAGCGGAGAGCTCAGAACAGGGGAGACTTGGAGGCCTATGGCCACCCCAAAATTCCACAAAACCACTCTTCCCAGTGCCACTGCCGCCCATCCACCCCACACAGGTGAGCCCACCTTGGGCCAAGCTCCCCTCCTCCCCACTCCCCCCACCGGGAAGAGGCTGGTGCAGCCCCTGGCTCAGAGTCCACAGCGGGCAGCCTGCCCTCACTCCACACACAAATCTGGGGGGCACATGCCCCCCCTCCCAACCTGGCCCCTGGACAATCCACCCACAGCTCCATCCTGCTCCTGGCACTGGGATTGTATTCACTGCCCTGGCTGGGCAGCACCTGCTCCTCCCCTTGCCCCACTCCCTCTCACTGTGGAGGCCTCTATCTGCCTCTCCCTCACCCCTTCCGGCCCCCATGTCTCTTCCTCCACACAGACTTACTAGCAGGACACTGCTTTCCAAGTTGCCCGATTGCATTCCTGGCCATGTGCACACTACATTTATCCGTGACATTAATCAGCTATACCAGCCAAAAAAAGCCAATAGCTGATAATGTTAGTTTTCCTTTCATTGGTGCCGATCTGATATGCAACCAATATATCAGTGCATCTCTAGAGGAGGACACCAATTATTTGTTTGCTCAGGGCCCCAATAAATTTAAATTCAGCTCTGCCTACCAGCCCCTGGGTCATTAGCAGCAAACTGCTCCTGCTTCCCGGCACATGTAGAGCCTGTAATGCCTGGGAACATTTACTCATGAGTAGTGTACTCATGAATAAACTCTCCCAGATCTAATGCACATGTAGACACACCCATAGTGTATAAGTACTGTCAGGTTAAAACCTATAGCGATGCTAAACTCCCCTCTAAAACTGTCATGCTCCTCCCATACACCAGCCTGCAGAACAGGCCTATATGTTTTCAGGGCAGACCTATAAACCTTATACAGGGTTTCCAAGAAGCTGTCTTTTACCTCAGGAGACCACATATACCTGAAGCAAAGACCTCCAGGGCTCCTGACATGATAGGCAGCTTTGCACTGGCCCCTACTGAAGACTTTGGCTACAAGCTAACTTTTAAACAAATATACACCAACAAGGCCTATATCATCTTATGGACTGATGGTTCATTTAATACGAATCAAAACCATTTCTATGATATTCCATTAAAATCCTGTTACATCTGGGACTATCACTCTATTTTTGTAAGTACAAAAAAGTCAAACACTGCTTTTGAACTGCAAAACAAAAATTATCAGCAACCAAGAACATACATCTCTAAACTGCAAGTAGAAACTATTTTTTCAACTGAGCTCCAAATCCCTGAAACATTTAAAATGGAAGTACTGGAACCTCATTAGTTATAATAGTACCTTACTAATGGTTCATTCTGTGGAACTAAGCAACATCACCATCCAGGTCTCCCCCTAGGTACCATGTGGTGGCCACAAATCAATTATGGATAGCTCCCCATCTGTGATGAGTCAAGGAGAGGACCTACCCTGGGGCTATTTTAAAGCAGGGGTCCCCCACCTGGCTAGGTGTTAAGTCTGTGGTGTTTACTTGCTGGCTGCCTCACTGTTAAGAGTTCTTCTGAAATCCCGAACAGCAGCATGTACAGAGTAATTTTTCAATTTTCTCCATCCCCTCCCAGGCTTACTGGCCACCAGAAGACAGTACATTTGACATGTCTAGTGCAATAAAAGCATCAAATGGAAGAAGAGACAAGGGGTGAGGAAGAAAATAATTATCACAAAATTTAAGTATACTCCAAAAGAATATGAAGCAATTTTGAAAAAATAAAAATAAAACCAGGGCTACTGCAGGAGTCAGTTTTCCAATATAGTTTTGATCTAATTATTATTTCCTCTCAGCTAAAAAAAAAAGTTATGAGAAGAATACAGCATTAATACTCAGTAAATCTCTTCCTACTTTATTTTGCAAGTAACTAATAGTGTAGTTGTAATACTATCATATGTACTTGCAAATCTATGCCTTCCCCCACATTCAGAGGAATACAAAATTTTACAAAAATATTTAAGGGCTACTCTGAAAACAACGCCTTTGTTTCAGCTAAAATGCAGTGTTTCTGTGTAATTTTCTATACCATGGACCAAATCCCGAAGAAGTGAGGAAACCCACAAAAAATGGGCTACTGCCAAAAAAGAAAATGAAATTAATGCAACTGCTAACCTGCTGGGCATTAGGCAGACTTTATTAGCAAATGCCAGCAGGTAAGGGAAGTACTCTAGGTGTTCCTGGTAAACTGGAGAGCAGGTACCTAGATCACAACTGAAGGGTTTCAGAATCTCAGTGCTTCAGCTGCCCCCACTATTGCCCCATCACACAGCAGAAACACAATTCTGATGTTTCCTGGCCTAAATGCAACTTCATAAACCACCTGAGGATTTGGCGCAGATGGATTTTTCAAAATGCTGAAGTTTAAGGACTGAGTTAATCTTTGGTCCACTTAGTAACCATCCACTGGGCAATAAAACTGTTTTTACTAAGTCTTACTGGAAGTAAAATTGTACATAGTGTTAAATTTTTGTATATATTACCTACCACATGACTTCCCCCCACTAGTCTCTTCCACATTCTGATGGCTTTTAGGGAGAAGCAGCTTCCAATTCAACTTTTTGCGGGGGGGCGGTGTTGTTTTCTTTTTTGCTCAAGTCCTTACTGGTACTGCTTCTAAGTAGTACTGGGGGGGGGGTTTGCCAAGAATCACTTTTAAAATGTAATAAAGCAGCTGAACTACTTACTTGTACAAAATCACACATGCATTCATGTAATTATACCAGAAAACAGGACTTGAAAAGAATCCCAAAAGGGGAAATTTGATCCAATGCAGAGGACCTAAGCAAAACTAAGAGCAGAGGGGCTGGAGGATGTCACAGATGTGCTAAAATGAAGTGAATGTCCTTAATGCATATGTATTTGTCTGCCAGCCACAGTAGGGACATTACCCCTACTGAGCCCACTTTGCTCTGGTTCAATACAAATGGCAATAAAAAGTTTGTCAAATATTAAACAAAATATACTGCCAGATAGGCTACAGACATTTAATTCCATCGAAAGCACCAAACATTTTACTAACAGTTGATCTCAGTATCTTTCTACCCTTATTCTAGCCATACATCTTTTCTTGAACTTTCTATAAGTACATAATAGATTAGCTGTTCTAACGTTAAGGGTCTTTTTGTTTGCTTTTTTCCTGATTTGTCCTAAGCTGCTCCTTTCTTAGGTCACGTACAAAGTTTGCTTAGTTGCAGCTTATGTCTGATTTGGACTCGACAGCAGCATACCGTATGTACATTTGAACACCTGATAACCTGTGAAAAAGAAATCACAGGTCCCAGTTTGTAAAGCATTGGCTACTTTTTCTCATCCCTAAAAAATGACATATTACTTGTTTAAAAAGAAGGAAAATTAAAACTCTCTTCATTAGTTTTGGGTGTCCTACAAATAAGTTTGGAACCAAAGTATGAAAAGACCTACATATGCTGGCTCTCTTCTGTATACAAGTGAAAAAGCCTTTTTACTTTTCCCAAAAGAAACATGCACTTCAAGCTGTGAGCTCGGCCAGGCCATTGTATTTGAGGTTCTGCTACAGAATAACATTCGTATCTTGATTTTTTTAAAGTGCTAATCTCTGGAGATTTTCAATATGAAAGTCTATACAGGGATAACAAATACTTTCATGTTGTGTGTGATAGGATGACACACAGGGTGCAAAGTTGGATATTTTTATGTGCAGTTTAAGTGAGAGGAAATGGAAGGTTATTTTGTTCTGGACAAAAATATTTTGAAAATATCAAAAAAAAAAAAAGAAAAGAAAACAAATTAAGTGTTACTGAAAATCTATTTGAAACATTTTAAGTCCTGGTTCAGGAAAGCATTTAAGTAGAGTTTAATTTCATCCCCATTCAGGACAGCAATTAAGTTTAATACATCCTTTAGTGCTGTCCTAAGAATAGCTGCATTCTGGAATCTAGGCCTAAAGTGGTAGTAGTATGTAAAAGAAAGTATCATAGAGCTTTAAGAGAGATTGGGTGCATCTCCACGTACCAATTTAAGTCACTATAGCCTGATTTAAGGTGCATTAAGGGCACACATTTAATATGCCCTTAAGAGTTTAATGACTCTTAAAAATGGAGATTTTAGGCTATTCGCACCTATATTTAATACCTGCACCACAGTGTATCTAAATTTAAAAGGATATGCCCTGGAACCGCCTTCTTTTTTTTTTTTTTTTTTTTCAACCAAAGCATTCAAAAATATAATATTACCTACGCACCAATCTCTAAACCTAGATACATGTGTGGGTCCCGCTTACTTAAGCAGTTCTGCATGTGTCTGATGGTAGAATATGGATCTAGAGGTATATTCTGGCATTGATTTTTTTTTCAACTATTTAATACTGATTGTGTTATTTTCCATGAAAATTCCCCACATCACAAAGGAAAGACAAACTCAAGATTGTTTATATGCACAGGCTTTTAAGTGTCAAAACTCTGTGGTATTTAAGTCAAGGCTTCAGTGGATGGTATGCTCAGTTTAGAAATGCAGAAGTTTGCCCAAGTTCTGAAACAGAAGCAACTATACTAGGACAGAAGTGCTCATCCCTTGGCCTGCAAGCCAGATCCAGCTTGCAGAGCAGTATCATCCAGCCTGTAGAGCTCCCCATGGGACTGAAAATTTGGTGGTGAGGGAGCAGTCTCAGTGTTAGTTGCCACTTCCCTGCTACCAGATTTCTGGATCTCTGGGGAGCCTGGTGGGCCAGATAACATGGTTCTGAGTGATAGATGGGGGACCTTTAAGCTGGGATGGTGTGTGGCCAAATCCTGGCACACACAGCAGGGCTTATGTAGAACGGGGTCAATGTAGTGATGGCATTGGGCAGAGGCAGCACAGGGCTCAATCT